AGTGAAAGTATTTTGGTGAATTCCAAATTACTTTCGATGTCTAAAATAATTTTTTCCCATTTGATTAATTTAGTCAAAAATTTAATTAATTAAAATATTTCACTTTAATTAATGATCAAAGATTTTTCCGGTTAAAAAGATTAAAATAATTGTGTTAATTGAATGAACCATTTTAAAAAAAAAAATTAAAATTTTGAATTAGATTTAGTTATTAAAATAAAAACTATTTATCAAAATAATAAAAGATAGAAGAAAGAGAATTTTTCTTATTGTTCTTTTCTAATTTTAATATTTATTTAATTAACATTAATGAGTATTTAATTTTTTAATGAGTTTGTTTAGCCTATGTAACACAAGTTAAGGTGCAATAAATGTACCATGTTATAATTAATTTACATAAAAAATAATAAAAATAATTTTTATTTTAATATTATTATTACGTGAACAGTTTTAATTAGTCAATTAATAAATTTAAATTAATTTTTATCATTTTCTATATACATTAATCATAAAAGAAAAGAAATTAAATATTTTCTTGTGCCTTTTTAATTTAGAGAGAAAGTATTGTAAACCCACTATAAGGAAATTTTCCCAAAGAAATTAAATATTGAATCACCTAACAACATTTTGTTTTTTAATAAACAAAATAAATTGACCTTGACGCATGTGCTCAACTATGGCACTATTTTAATCATGGGAAAAATTAAGCTAACGACCCAGTAAACAAAGTTGGTCCAATTAAGGCCAATTCGCAGCATCTTTTCAAGTGGTTTGCGCAGATGCCCATTATTAATTCCACAATGTTTCTTTTTTATTTTTTTATAATTTTTTTATTTTTTTGTTTTATATTATATAATAAAAGATAATTTTTTTCATTTTTTAACTCACTCTACTTTTATATTATGTATTTAAATTTAAAATCTTTTATTTTTATTAAAAGAAAATTATTATTAGGTTGTTGGCATTAATTTCACAATGTTAAATGCTATAATTGTAATGTTATAGAAGGTTATAAATTTATAATTATAAAATGGTATTAAATAAATATAATATTAGACAAGTATAATATAATATTAAATAAATATATATATATATAATATTTTACGTTTGATTTTTAAATAAAAATAAATTATATAATAATATATTATATTATAATTTCTAATATTGTTTAACATTATAATTATAATATTTTGTTTATTAATTATTCAGAGATGAGTCAGAAACGGCAATCGCTCACGGTGGTTCCTGGAAAAATGGTAAATGCTCATGTGCTTTATGTACAATTTTAACAACTCTAGACGAAAGAAAAGAGTACCCTTTCTTTTCTTTCTTTTTTAATTTTTGAATTATAATATATTGTAAAACATAAATTATTAAATAAAATTTTTTTTAAATATAAATCATTGAATAGAAAAGAAAACTTTTGAAATTAAGAGACTTACTTTTATTTAATAATTTAAATTATATAATTTAAATTATATAATATT